TTGAGAAATAGCATTTTGAGAAACGCATTGTACATTCTTTGGATGTTATCTTGCCCTGTGATCTTGCAGCTGGTCAGCAAGAAAAACTGGAGTCTTGACATGCCTGGGAACTTTGCTGAGAACGTGAGGAGAATAGATAAAGTAGGTTTTACAGGGAGTTTGTTAATTTTAAGCAGAGCTGGGGGTTAGGTTTTATATTAAACAGCACACAACACAGTAAAATTTATTATATAGCAACTACAAATTATAAGGTTTTGTCTGTACTATTATTGCTATTATTTCATTTCCTTCTTCACCACCACACTAGCTAATTTTTTTAAAAGATTTTTTTTGCAGATAGGGGTCTCACTATGTTGCCTAAGCTGATCTCGACCTCCTGGACTCAGCCAGTCCTCTTCCCTCAACCTCCCAAGTAGCTAGGACTGCAGGCATGTGCCACCATGCTGGCTGCTTTAAATTTTTTTTTTTTTTAAATCTACTTTAAGTTCTGGGGTACATGTGCAGATCTTGCAGGATTGTTGCATAGGTACACCCATGCCGTGGTGGTTTGCTGTCTCCTACATCAGGCATTCTCCCAGTGTTATCCCTCCCCAACCTCCCCGATCCCCGCTGTCCCTCCCCTAGGCCCCCACTTCCCCCAACCTACCCCAGTGTGTGATGTTACCCTTCCTGTGCCCATGTGTTTTCATTGTTCAACACCCACCTATAAGTGAGAATATGCAGTGTTTGGTTTTCTGTTCTTGTGCCAGTTTGCTGAGAATGATGGTTTCCAGATTCATCCATGTCCCTGCAAAGGACACGAACTCATCGTTTTTTATGGGTGCATAGTATATTTTTTTTTAATTTTAAGATTTTTTTTTGTGGAAATGGGGTATCACTATGTTGCTCAAGTTGATCTCAAACTCCTGAGCTTGAGCAATTCTCCTGTTTCAGCTTCCCCAAGTGCTGGGATGACAAGTGTGAGCTACCATGACTGGCCCTGCAACCTGGCATATTCATGGATTCTAGGGATTAGAGCGTGGACAGGTTTGTGTTGGGTGGGCATTATTCTACGCAGCAAGCATCTGTGAACCACACTGACATTCTGAAGCAGCAGCAGTGACCACCATCCCCTCCACTGTGCGGATGAGGACTGAGACCCAGGAAACTCAGTACTTTCTTGGAGTCACAAAGGTAGTGAGAAGCAAAGCATCAAAGCCCAGGTGGTCGGGCTCCAGGGCAGGCTCTTTTTGACACTATAATCTTCTGCCTGTCTGGATCTTAGAATAATTTTCTAAGCCGAAAATTATTCATTGAATTTGAATCTTGGGGAGAAGGGTCAAAATGAAAGCTGGTGGTTAATGAACTGATGAGGGTGTAGGAATTGCGGTTTTGGGCCAGGCAGGAATATAAGCATGACGTTGCAGGGAGTCAAGGTGGCAAAATTTGTCTCTCCTCCGTCTCCATAAATAGTAAATAAAATATCTGGCTTGGCCAGGCGCGGTGGCTCACGCCTGTAATTGCAGCACTTTGGGAGGCCCAGGCAGGTGGATCACTTGGGGTTGCAAGTTCAAAACCAACCTGGCCAACATGGTGAAACCTTGTCTCTACTAAAAAGACAAAAAATTAGCTGAGTGTGATGGCTCATCCCTGTAATCCCAGCTACTCGGGAGGCTGAGGCAGGAGAATTGCTTGAACCGGGAGGCGGAGGTTGCAGTGAGCTAAGATCGTGCCACTGCCCTCCAGCCTGGGGGACAAGAGCAAGACTTCATCTCAAAAAAAAGAAAAAAAAAATCTAGCTTGTATGCTGTCTCCATAAATAGTAACGAAGATATCTGGCTCCTGTGCCTGCTTCTGGCATTCACACAGTGCTTTCTAGCATCTGCTGCAGGCGTAAGATTCCAAGGTGGGGTTTATTCTCCTTTATTTGATCATTGAAAAAAACTACCCCTGAATGGGCGCGGTAGCTCACACCTGTAATCCCAGCACTTTGGGAGGCCGAGGTGGGTGGATCACCTGAGGTCGGGAGTTTGAGACCAGCCTGAC